TTTGCCTTCAAATCTATAACGTAAGCACAGTTCTTTTTGGCAGACCCCGCGTCCCGGTGTTTCACACTGCCAAAGAGCGAACAAATAAGCACGTTCCGCAGACTGAGCGGATGGCTTTTTTCGAGTATTGTTCTCCCGTGTCGGTCTCAAGCGGTTATGTGAACTTCATACAGTCAAATTGATTGATGAAAATAACAAATATTTATTCACTACCTGAATACTTGACAACACGGATAAAGGGCCGATCACCCCAGAGATATACATCCTAAGTTAATGCACCCACACATTATCTGGAATATGCTCTGGAAATCTTTTCCGGCGTTTTATCTTCGAGGGGCACTTGCATAAGTTATTTTCGAAAAACTTAAGCTTTTTTTTTTTTTTTTTTTTCATTTTGAAGCTGATTTAAATAACATCTGTCCCTAACGAGTATTCAACTTCTCAAACATATAGAAGTATGTTGCTTCTTTTATTTGATGAACAACAATTTTATGTGTCTGTGGGCTGGATGAAAACAAAGTACACAGTGGCACGTGGCGGCACTATGACGATTGTGCACGCAAACCGTCAGAAAGTGACCAATTAAGTAGCTGTAATGTCGAGTAGACTATGAAATACTACTTTGCTCTATTTAACAACAAATCACCAATTAGCTAGGGTGATGCTTATTTACGAATTGAATTGACCGGCATCCTGTCAAAAACAAACATCAAACGCCAAGCTATGTCGAAACTATGTACTTTAATGCACTCTATTTTTGGCCAGATCCGAACTGAATACGAAGGTCACTCTTTTCTGCATGATTATTCGCCTGCATCATGGTGCTGAGTGAAAACAATATTATTCAGGAAAGCAAGCGTTGTGCTTGCCGCTCAGTGTTTCTATAAAAGGTAGACTCAAAGGGTTTGTCCTAACACTTTCCTGACATGGGGAAAATATTATTGCTTTTAGCTTAGTTGTATCGTCATCATACATATTGTAAAACATATTTTATAATCTAGATTTCAGGATATATATGGCGAGAATGTGCCCATTTCATGATTGTATGCACTGTAATTAATTTTTAATTACAAGAGCACAGTAGGACTCGACTTTTAGTATTGCGATGCAAAAGTTTACTAATCACATGCATTTTAGGCGACGCACCAGACTGATAACCTTTAGATTCGGGTAAAATATATGTGACTGAGGTAAAAAGAAATATATGTTCAGTTATATATCTTAATCTAGCTTTTCATTTACTGTTTCATCGAAATGAAACAACGCAATTTATTTTTGGTACCTGAAAATAATTGTGGATCGAACAAATGAAAAAGAAAAAAAGCTATATAGTTACTCGTTTCATTCCTGAAAAGTGCCTATAGCCAAAGGAACGCGGAAAATATATTCTCAGTTTAGCGGTTCGAACCGGTTTGAACCGGTTCGAACCGTTAATTTTCGCTCCCCGGAACTGAACCGGAGCTGAACCGAAATTCGTGAACCTGAACCGGAACCGAACCGGAACCGAACCGACAAAAATTTCGGTTCGACACTGGTTTGCGGCTGCCCTGCGCGCTTATCGGTCTGTTTCTCCGCTCCCCTTCTCCTCTTTCGTCTACTCCCCTTCCCCCTCTTCCCCGGGACATCACCGTCCACGCCATGCGAAGCGACCTGCCCGCGTCTCGTTTGTCCTGTCCCTCGCCCCTCGCACCCCCCCCCCCCCCTCCCCCGAACGTCACAAGACCACGTGGTTCGACGTGATGTGGTAATGACCACGGTGCTTTGGCGACACGAGACCAATGTTGCCTGACGCAAACGAAGTTTCGGTTTCGGTATCAGCTGATGTTTAAATTAGGATTACACAAATAATATTCCACATTTCGCGAATCCGAAGGCAAAGAGCTGTTTAGTAGTGCTTTGTGAAATGGAACCACATGTAAGCCTAAATTTTTCGGAATTGAGCGGAGTTGCCCTTTAACCGTCTATCTTTTTTGCGGTTTCCACGTCTCTTGCGGTTCGGGCAACCCAGTGGGCACGGAGAGAGTAACTAAATATCAGTGCGTCATATTTTAACCGGACCACGCGGAAACTTCCTCCTCCAACGGGGGCGCCCCGTGGTGTCGAACGCGCGCGGCATGTGACAAAATCGTGACGTTTTTGGTCCCGACATCAGCCGAAGAGAGAGAGCTGCCTCGTTCCCGGGCAGCTTCTCTCCTCGGCCTCACCTTCTTTCCCCGTCTTCCCTTCCGTCCCCACATAGCAGTGGGATTTGATGTTGTTCCTGTCGCCTTTACCCTTGTACAGCAGCCTCAGCATGCTTTGTCACCAAGTCTCGGGTACCTCTCCCCCAACAATTTTTTTTTCTATTGTTTGTTGCACCATAAATTTAGTTGTTTTGCCAAATATTCTAACAAGTATCATTGGTATGCCAACTGGTCCAGTTGATGTAGACAGATAGCAAGTTGTGCGAATACCTGCTCGATAAAAGATTACTTTTCTATAAATCTTGTCGTTCCAACATAAATATAAATACGTCAAAAACCTAGTACCATCAAGAAAACTTTTATTATACGGAGTTTTAGTGGCGCCATCTATCCTAGGTCCGCAAAACCGTCAGCTCTATCAGCTACCGCGAATAGCCGCCAGAAGTCGGAGGGGGAGGGGTTCAGGGCTGGACAGGTATGGCCGGACCCGGACAACACCTGGAGGAGACTTGCCTCCTTTCACCATATTGTTCACGCTGCGCCCGCCAGCACGTGGTCACGCGGTCGCGAGCGGATGAGTTCTCGCTGCTCACTGATGGCTCTAGAGAGAGAACTTTACCGGAACCCCCGCGCCTACCCCATCGACGTCACTGCGCACGAGACCTGGAAGACGATGTACGAGTTGAGAAGTAGCAAAAACCTGGAACTTTTTTCATTTTTTTTAATAAAAACTAGGGTATCCAGTCAAAATCTGTTTTCTGTAGTTCACTTCAGAAGTGTCAGGCATCAACTTCCACAATTATTTAAGCAAAGCCCTGAAATTGATGCACAGCTCCTTTAATTGTTGCATTTCTATCATTTCAGTTAATTTCCCTCCTCCATTTCATTTAGTCTTTTCCGATGTTGTCCTGAATGAAAGCATATGCCGCGGATTTCTTTTGCTGGAAGTCCTTCCATTTTTCCTCTGTTAAAGCGCCCCCTTCTTAGCTGCTTCCTGGATGCCTTTCTCCTCCGATTTATGGCTGCTTTGGCTTCCTTATCCCAGAAGCTTTTTGGCCTGTGTTTGCATTTGTTCTTAACTCTAACTTGATTTCGTTCCAATTCCTTTCTGAATATTTCTATGAATTCATTGCACGACCACTGCTTCTCTGCTCGAGTGGCTACTGTCTGGATGGATGGATGTTAATGGCTATTCCCTTTGTAACGGGCGGTAGCTTGCGCCACCTAGCCTAAGTCTAAAAGACAACAACGTGATTCCTCCCGCCCTTTTAAGACCAATTTTTCTCCCCCTAACTATCACCAGGCAGTGTGGGATATCACCAGGATAACCTTCAGGGGATCGGGCAAGAAAACTAAAAAACATCACCCCCCTGCCTCTTCCCCCCCGGCGAGGGAGTCGCCATTTTCCTCTGGACAAACCTTGTCGGCGTTACCCCAGCATCGGACCCACTGGGAGACAGGGTTGAGACTTTGGGCAGGAGCCACGCGGGAGGGAGTCCCAATTTTCCGCTGTCCCGCCTGTTCCCAGCTGTGCTAGTTAGTTGTCCATCATTTAATTTTCCCTAGATAATTAATTTCCCCCAATCTTCTAATCGTCTCTTTGTCACTGTAATCTTTTTCTCTACCATCCTTCCATCGTCGCCAGTGAAACCCAGGGTTTCACTGGCGATCAGTGTTGCCACCCCTCTAGCACAGGGGCCTCGAACTCGTTGTAGTGTGGGAGCAAATAGCCCAACCACGAGGTGCGTCGAGCTGTTGCTATGATGACACGACGAGCCAATGGGGAGGCGCTGTGCTGCACGACGCAACGCGGTCGGCGCAAATGTGTAAACCAGCCTTGATCCAGTTATTATTTACTCGAGTCTCGGGAAGTTGGAAGCAGAATGCCCCGCCGTCACGTTGAGGACCCAGCCACCTGACACGGGCGATAGACCGATCTCACCAGTTTGACTACGCCACCGCTGCCGCAATGCATCGAGGGAACTTGTCTTTCTACACGTGCGAGAACCTCGCTGGAGCTCTGCGCGTGTAGAGCACGAGATGGCACAAGCCCTCTCGTGCACTGCCGTTTGCCTCCTGTGAACTGAAATTATGGCGGCGTCACGCATACGCTTGGCGAGATAACTGGGGTTTTTGAAAGCGGGGCAAAAAGGGAGGGGTGTTTGCCGCTAAAGAGCTCGATGAACGAAAAAATATCCAGGGACGTTATTTGCCGCAGGGTGTTTGACATCGGGTGCTTTCGTACACCACCCGTTTTTGCGCACGCAACTTTGCAATATTCTCAGATCGACCAAAAGATGGCGTAATTTTTGAAGGGGTCTATAACAGGAAGCAATTGTTTGTCCATCGGGACACTGCAACGAGCACACACAGACAAAGAACAGCACTGACTAAAAATGTCTAAAAGCCCGTTACAAAAAAACAAAACAAAAACATTAGGGCGCAAGCTCAGCGATATACACGAAGTTGCAAATTAGCAGTCCGATGCATGTAACCCCCTTTTCTTGCCTACACACACAATGCAGTGCCAACTCAGCGTTGCTTTTGTGTTATATCTCAGCACTATTAGTCAGAGCAGGAAATGGCGCTGACGCGAAGCGCCGACTTTGCGCTACATCAGTAATACAACGCTCATATACAGCACTGCATCGGTACCAAGTTACGATGAAGTCAGCGCTGCCTCAGCGCTTTTCCCTGTTTTGATGTAGAGCTGCATTGCATGTGCCAACTGGCCGTTAATGTGGCTGATACATGAGCTCCTACAAATCAGTGCTGCGCTCTCCAGTACCCATTCACACAAAAATAACAAAACAAATATTCACTTTTTAATATTTTTTTATTAGGAGACGTTTAAAAAAATAAACACATGGTTCCCCTTTCATTTCGCTCTAAAATTTGTCGACAACACACTGCAAAACACCCCAAAAGTAAAACTAATTCTTTGGTTCAATCAGAATGCAAGTGTCTCACCAAACCCTAAGCACCGTCTGTAAACACAATGGTTTCAGTAGCACACTGCCTCACAGCACTACTATGGACGAAAACGTATCGCCCGCTAGTCAGTCTCAAAACCTGTTTTTAATAACTACTATTAAGAAACAATTTACGACATGCCAGCGAAGAATCGCTGGACGTCATCAAATTAGACCACAGATAATCCTGAATAGTGACTACCTCAGGAAAATGCTCAAATTCGTTTTACTCCCGTACAGTAGAAAAACGGTCGCGCGAACCATGGCTACTCAAGTTATATTGGTGAGCCTTAATTTAACAAAATGTCCCACGATCAAATAGAGTAATAGACGAATTCATGTTCAGTGTGCTTCCTAGTGGCTCGGAACGACGAAACTATAGAAGGGGCTCAAACCAAAGCAGTCTGGTGCACCAGACTTCTTTTCTATTACATTATCAATAATGGTGCCAGGTGTCTTTTTATGGCAATGGCAAGGGAGATGTATACTCTAAACACGAGATGGCACGAGACCACTAAACTTGGGATTCTTGGGATGCCCTTTGCCCGGAGCATCGATCTGTAGGGCTAAATTTTGTGCCAAACTAATTTGGCCTGTCTGCTAACCCAAAGAAGACTCTCCATCTACCTGAAGCTACTCACTTATGCACGCAGAATGGCCGACGATGCAGTGTATATAGTATGCACGTATTACAGGGCGTTAAAAGTGGCGATTGGGTATATTACCTGCATCCACTCAAAATCTCACTAGTCTTTTTTTCACGCTGATTATAAAGCTCTGAACTAAATTGCTTCGGTCTTTGGGCATCATCCACCTCACAAAGTAAAATGCAATAAATGCTTTTTTTTTCTTCTGTATTTAACATTTAGAAAGTTTTGCATTTCGGTTAGCGTGCATATAGCACGGCAATGTGGCTGAGAATGTTAGGCAGTGATATACGTCACTTGTATGGCATGAGAACCTGGCTAAGGTTGATGGTTTTCTGAGTATCCTTGAACACAATGACAAAACACCACAGCACACGGTGCGTCTATCACTGGTATCGGTGCCGTTTTGGGTCTTGCAAGCGGCAACCGTTACAAAAATGTCACGAAACGACAAGACTTGTACGATTAGAAGAAAGGCAAAGAAAAGTTGGGAACACGTTCAGTGAGAAACACCGATACACCAAGAGTCGAATGGATTCGCGAAGCGTAGCTGTAGAGGAGGCACATTACAACAACTCAATTGTAAATGCAAGGCATCGGATGGGTATCGGGAGACGAAGATTGTAAACGATGAGAGCTGTTAATGGCCTGTGGAATTATCAGCAGCATATTTACCAAAAGACCGCATCTTCTCTAGCAGAGCTAGTGGTGGAAGAGTGCAAAAATACTGTCTTCGGTATACAGCAGTCAGAAGAAGAAAAAGTGCCATACCAAAGGTAGAAATACTTATCTTTCTCCCCATTCTTGCCAAAAGTGGGCTAAAGAAATTCAGAATTCATACCAGTGAACAAAGCATGAATGCCATTAAGTGTTTTACCCAGCTAAAAATCTAAAAAGGCTAGCCAGCACTATTTTATTTTCGTGTTTAGTAAAGCAAATGACAAATTTGCTTGACCATAACATTCAATCAATATACCTACTCAACAGAAATGTTTCCTGTAGATCATAGCCCAGGAGCCTGTTATTTTTTATTCTAATTGTATGACTAGTACAGCTAAGCGAGCAATTGATAAAGGTATTTAAAAAGTAAAAATAATATTGGTCACTGATCACCATCCATAAAAAATTAAAGTAACTACCTTCAGCCCAGCATTGGCAAGCGCTCAGAGAGACTTGTGCAGTGCTCTTGGACAGACAACACTTGGAAGTTATATACAATGTCTAAAAATAGATTGCTGTATTTCATGTCAGGAGCAGCCCACATGGAGAAAAAAGCTGCTTGTCTGCCTCTCCCACAAGCATGACGAATCAAAAGCAGTACCTCTCTTTACCCTACATGCCTGAGAACAGTATATGTAGAACTCTCGCAAGATGACAAAACATAATCCAACATTAACAGCATTTCCCCTGGAGATAACATTTTGTAGAGTGCAAATGCTGGCAAAAATAAATGGCAGCAGCTGTCTTGGCAAGCAGCAATTAATTGTTCCTAGTTTGGGAAATGAGAAAGAAATGCCCAGATTGCACATCCACAGCTGGAAGTTGAGTGCATAGCTTGCCATATACTGGTATTGTCCCTCGTCTAGACCCCATAGTAGGCAAAGAAATGGTAAGTAAAGAAAACTTTTACTTAGACATATGAAAGCATAAAACTATCTTGCAGTCCAGACACAGCCCTGAATCCACAAACAGTGCAGCAACAAAAAATCAGAAAGACTGACTGCTGCTAAAAAATCAGCTGCTTCTGTTTGGTATCCATCATCTGCATTATAATACTAAAAAATAAATATTTGATAGACATAAACCAGTGCAATATAGAAATAAATATGGCTTGCACCAAAAATAATGGTAGTGGTCATAACTAGGATTCTGGATTTTCAGTTTACGCTGACAAAAGCAAATAAAACAGATCGTTTGTTTTTAATTTTGATTTTACTCACACAAGTTCACTGATTAGTTTTCTGTGAGGAAACTCTCACCGCAGCCTTGACTACTTAAGTCATCATAATAACCACAAAAACAGAATAGAAAATTGCACAAATGAGAGATTACGAACCTTGAACAACACACAGAGTAGAACAAAACAAAGATTTTCACAGCAACCGGAACCAACCCAGGTGAAAATCGGTCCACTTGCAGCTGGGTTATGAAACTGGCCTTGGCTGGATTCAGCTGGATTGTCCAATTTCTGGCTGGATCCAGCAGGGATCAGTTCCGTAATCCAGCTGCAGGTGGACTGATTTTCACCTGGGAAACATTGGATATTATAGTCGTGTCAAGGTTTTCTTACAAAGAGCACTCTGGCTAAACGTCCCCTTGTTTAATACACTGTCTTCAGGAACTGTACCCCATTGCGAGAAGTCACTGCAAGCTAAAGTCTCCCAGAAATTTCGTGCTAGAGAAAAAAATAGAGGTGCGTAGCATAAAACGAATTTATGTGAAAGGGTCAAGTGGGGGGATGTGAAGTAAACTGGGAAAGAAATAAGAAAGCAGGTTAAAATAGTTTTCTATCAAAAGGTTCCTCCTCCAATGTATCTGTTCCAGACACCTCTGTGCTGTGAACTATAGCGTATTAGATACTACAACTAATTATGGAACTTAAAGGGAAGCTGAAGCTGTTTTAAACTTGAGAAAAAACACCTGAGCCCAGTTAATGAGACCTCAGCCATCATAAATATCATATTCATTTGGTCATTTTCTGCGCTAATTAACCGGAAAAGCGCCTTCAAAGTAGCGCCGAAGCCACGCCTCTCAGAAGCAGAGGGAAAGGGGAGAGAGGAGGAAGCCCGTCAGTTGGTGTCACAAAAGGACCGGCTGGGGGACCCCGCCGCGGACGGCCGCGCTTTCCTCGTAGCCTGCTCTAGTGTCTTTTCGAGCCGTCGTCGTTCTGCCACTGCATAGCACTTGCTTTTATCCGTTGACCGGTCATGCTATGGACTCAATCGCCTGACGTGTTGATTGTTCTCTTGTTGGTTCACGTGCTTGCAGAATTCTCGTGGCACCGAACCAACTGACTCGTGCTGTTGCACGATGCCGTACTCATGTGTAGCTGCCAGCTTTCACGAACAGCGCTCGTCGCAGTTGTTCTTCCCGCTTACCGTCTTTTCCACTTCGTCACCGAGATTTTAAAGCGGTGGATGGGTTTGAGCAAGTACACCGTTCTTTGTTCGAAACGTGTTTCGGACAGTGCATATGAAAACTATGTACGTATGGGTTTGGGCGTGAAGAAGGCAATCGCCTGAACCCGACGCTCTACCGACTATCTTTGAAGGTAAAAAGCCAATTCAGCGCATAAAAGGCACAAGCAAAGAGGAAACGGAACTAGGTAGGAATTGTAGGTCGACTGTTCTAGAAAAAAGCTATTACGTTATTAGAATTGTGCAGTGTGCTAGAAAAGCTGCGATCATTTAGCCGAATAGCGGGTTTCCACTGGCTCTCTTGTGTTAGCCGCCTTATATTAGTGTTTTAGTGTTGGTTTCTTAGATTGTTGAAGTGACCATAATTTCCGGACCAACTCCGGTCCGGGAAATCTGGGAAACAAAAGAAAACAATCTTGGGTAGCTCAAGACTATTTTCTTTTGCTTTTAATCTACTCGGCTACCCAGCCACTTGCGAGAGGAGGGCTTGCTCTAATAAGTGGTCATGCAATTCATAATGTGACTTTCACGGTGCAACTTGTTTTAGCATAAACTTTTTTTTTTTTTTTACAGTTGCATTATTTGAGGTCACATATTTTTTTAACATAAACATAAATTTTGTTTAATTTTCCTCCCAAAGGCTCATACTCTCTTCAGAAGAGCTTTTTGAAAATACAAAGCAAATGACCTTCTGTTCTAAATTGACTTTTTTTTTTTTTTGCAAGTTAGGCAGCATTTTTTGTATAAAGCTTGTGTCATGCAACAATTCTTTCTGCCGTAGAAATGCGATCGGACGATGATAATGCTTGGTGGTGGTGTGATGCAGTTAACAAATCTTTGTAGAAGTATACGAATGTAGAGGCCCAGGAAGCTTTCACGATTTTGACATCAAATTAAGGGCTGCCGGGCACACATCTCCGCTTTTTCTAAAGCTATATTGGCGTAATAGTTTGTGGCAGACAAACTAAGCGCAGCAGAGGGTACCGCTATCACAAGGATGGACCTTCTGCGCAGTTATTCGCATAGTGCGCAAGGACATGGCGGTGGCAGAACGGCGACCCTGTCTTATCACCCGTCTCATCTCAGGGGAAGCTCTCCCGTCGCCGAAGCTGATTATACTATGCCTTCAAACCACTTCAGCCTTGATGAACAATGCAGCCTGCACGCTCACGCGTCCAGCAGCTGGCGAGCACGAAGGCCGATGCGTGCAGAATTCTTGTCCTCTTACGACCGTTTTGGGGAGAGTCACGCTAATCTGGCTTGAGACGTCCCGTCAATAGCACTCTGTTTATTGTCAACGTTTTACGTTACAATAAGGAGCAGTCAGTACGTTCCTGAAGGCACAAAGCCGGCCATGTCGCGTCCGCGCAAGCGGTTCCTCATGTCTGCGTTTATTACAGCGAGTGGTCATTTTCCTACTTTGCCAACGGCTAAAACGCGTACTCTGTCACGTCGAGGGTCGTCTGGACACATTCCTCTTTCGGATCCACCGAAAGATTTCGAAAAGTCGGAAGCCGAACCCGATTTACAAGAGCCAAAGACCCGGCGCCCGGCTACATCCGCAAGCGACGGAGCAAACGAGAATCGAGATGGTCCTTTTATGATGTAGTGGCGCGTCACGCGTGACTAGCCAATGGCGTGCCGCTGCGGCGATCTCTTCTGATTTCTTCGCTTTTTTTCGCATTTAGGGATTATTTTTGGTCAAACGGTTGTGATATTTGGACTCAGCAGGCACAAACACGTCAGAATCAGCCATTAACTCATTTTTTTCGAAAAGCTCTTCAGCTTCCCTTTAAAAGAACTGAAAAACCCTCCTAGATTATCAAAAACGCCAAGAGCCCTAGATATATACTACACATAGAATTCAACGGAAGGCTAGAAAGAATTGGCCAAATCTCAAAAATCCAAATCAAAAACACAGTACTTAGAAGTCACAACCTATCTAGTGTCAGGTGTGGCCACGGCCGTCTGACTAATGTCAGAAGGTCGGGGTTGTCATTGAGCACTTTACATACCGTATTTATTCGGATATAAGGCGGTCACGACTATAAGGCGAGGGGGCAGTTGAAGGACCCAAGAAAAAGAAAAAAAATTGTCATATTGCTATACTGAGCTTCGAATATAAGGCGGGGTATGATTTTGAGACTACGGATTTTGGAAAAAAAACCTCGCCTTGTATTCGAATAAATACGGTAAATAAAAATGGTAAAGTGCAACAATAAGAAGGCCGTGGCTATCATTGAACACTTGACATAAATAAATAAAAATATAAAGGGGCCATGAAACAATTTTTGAACCTACGTACTTTAAGTTGGTTTAATAGTCTATCACTTATAAAATGAAGAACAGAAAAGCGCCTTTATTTGATCGTGCTAGCATCTATTTGTAAAAAATACAAGATATTGGAGTGCGAGATACGTCTCAACATTTTGCACTGTCTTCTGAGCTACATGCATCAGCACCCTAGCAAATATTGTGCTACTACAGCATGAGGCTCCCCCTAGGGTGACCACCTTCCTGCAGGCGAAATGCAGAACACAGTGACCGGGGAGGGAGGGTAGGGTGGAATAGGGGAGGACGGTATTTTCATGACTCAAGAAATGAGTATTAAAAAAATTAACCATCCCGCACACCCCGATATCCTGTGCAGTCCGAAAGCATATTATACACCTGAAAATTGTGTGGCGGCAATCAAGCTAAAATAATTTTCAATCACAGTGATATATTTTTGTGCAATTGTAACGGCAAATATTTTATTATGAGTGCCTAAGTTGAAAACATATAAATCGACTGCAGCAGACCCCAATACATGAAAGGAAAATAAGAAACAATAAATCTTTTTCGACTTATTGTTTCCTGTCGATATATACTAACTATATATATATACTAATATATACTCTTATACTAACATGCTCTTGCACAAAATTAGAACCTTATGTTGTTGTTTTTACGACCCGTGTGAGTTGCAGGTTCTTTGCCTTGTGTGGCTGTCTTCGCTAAAAAAAAATGCTTTCCATAACAACCCTTATGCATGACACAGTATGATTTGCAAATAATTACAACAGTTCATTTTTCAACTTTTAGAGAGCAATTTTCGCTCGCAATATTTTGCCATTAAAGGTAGAGGCACAACGGCACATGCGCGTCCAACTCTTGCAAGAACAACGGTCGCTTCCCGCAGGGCTTGTATAGAAAATTGCATACCACCAAGATTCACACGTTTATCAGCGACCTCCGCGCAACCCCGTGGCCCATTCTTCGGAAGCGCCATAATTTGCGTGGTCGAATGCTACGACAATGTGAAATGCGGGACATTTTAAAGATTTTGGTATTTCTTGCGGGACGCGGGACACGAGCCCTCAATGCGGGGCAGTCCCGCGAGTCGCGGGACGGGTGGTCACCCTGGCTCCCCCCCCCTCTCCTCTCCTCTCTTCCCCCCTTCACTCCAATTCATGTGTTCTCCTAGTTACCTCTATTCTCTGGTGAGCAGGATCGCGGCAGGCTTAGCGTGCCACGGATCCAGATTTCTGTCAACACTGACCCGGGCAGAGGAAACAGTTTTGTTAAACGTGGGTAGATGGCCCAATTGAATCTCTCCTTTCATAAAATTTTGCTAATCATATGAAATTCTTGTAGCATTTATTTTTATGCCCAAACAATAAGCTTAAAAAAGTCAGGACACAAAAATTAAACAAGGAAATTACTCTTGATATTATATGCTCAAGTTACTTAATATACAGACCAAGTTTTGCAGTTTTTAGAGCTCTAGCAATTAAAAGAATTATTTTCTAATGCCAATCATTTGCAAGCAGAGACCAGGCAACCCCGACTGAATTCCGACGTAACCTGCCCACATGGTGTCTATGAACCACGTGAGTGTAAACACATACTGAACGCTCTCCATTCTTGGCTTATTCACGTTCGCCACGCTCGCATGCTAACTCTCATTCCCTTGCCTCCTGTTCCTTGCTCCTAGTCTGCCAAAACAAGACGTGAGTAATGACACAGACTGCACCGACTCGAAGCGCAGGGGGAAAATGAGGGAGCTGAAGGCCAAGGCAGCTCAAGCGCCGAGAGAGTTCGCAGGCACATGCAACAGAATGGTGAGAATTGTGCCGCTAGGAACATTGGCAGATACATGTGTGATATATAGGGAAACAAAGCATATTATGTCACCAACCTTTCAAACATGGCAGCATTTCTCAGTGGGCGGACTCAAGGGTCCCTTGATTAAATTGAATTTACCCACAATAAAAAACTTTCAGCCTTTCCACTCTGGTGAAGAAGGAAAGCCAGCGAAGCTGTACTATGGTCAGACGACCTCAAGGACGACTTCCTGGACGACCTCAAGGGCAATGCCTAAAGATGACGTCTAGGACGACCTCAAGGACGACGTCTAGAAAACTACCTCAGGGACGGCATCTAGACGAACTCAAGGACGACGCCTAGGACAACCTCAAAGACGACGTCTAGGACGACTTCAAGGACGACTTCTAGGACGATTTAGAAGAGAACGTCTAGGACAACCTCAAGGACGACTTCTGGGACGACCTCGAGGACGACATCTAAGACGACCTCAAGAATGACTTCTAGGACGACCTCGAGGACAACCTCTCGGACGACATCAAGGATGACCTGAAGGACAACTTCTAGGATGACCTCGAGGACAACCTCAAGGACAACGTTTAGGACGACTTCAAAGACGACTCCTAGGAAGACCTTGAGGACGATGCCTAGAGAAATTCAGCCTTTCCACTGTGGTGAAAACCAGAGTGGAAAAGCTGGAAAGGTTGTCGCCATCTATGAGCAAAGCCAGCAAGTCGATTGTCTGGTTGCCGCTGTCGCTCATAGGTGGCGGTAGCTGTCCAGAGTTTTGTGTCGACATTTCTTTGCGGGTGACGCAATCCTGGGGAAACTAGCCCTTAACAGCTCCGCTGTAAAAAATCAGCACAAATAAAGTTCCATCTAATAGATTCTAATGACATAGCTATCTCAGATATTAATTTTTTGCATGTCCTGACCCCTGGAAGTACAACTTAAAATTGAGAAAGTAATTGCATAAATTGCTAATTTGCTACAATCTATCCTGGCGAGCACGTCACAAAATGTAGTTTCGAGGCGAGCACTACATAGTTTGACGACAATGCAGCGGAATCGCAATATTCCAATGGAGGGCGACATGTCTTCTCATTTATGCCACAACATAATCAAAATAAACCGAATAAAGTTCAGGGTCCTTCAATGTTGAAATCATTTCATGACCCCTTCAAATGATTTCTAGAATTGTACTTAACATATAAAATAATTTACCTTGCAAATAAAGTAGGCAGAATATGCAATTCACTCAGTAGGACAGACCTTGCGTACAAACTGGGACTTGGAGCCTTCAAAGCATTTCACCCACAGTGATGAAGTAGATTATATATTTTCAGTTGAGGTTCTAGCAAGCATGTGTATAATATTTCTCTTGGCACTGTTGAGTTTTGTACTAGACAGGGACATTTCACTCGGGACACAGACTCGCTACTCTCTTGCCTTTGTTGTTGAGCAGCAATGTATTTGTTCATTGCTGTGAACACTTTGGTTAGAGATTTTGCATTTACTCTCTCTCTTTCCTTGAATCTCATATAGTAACAGTTTGCCCATTAAAAGCTAAAAAAAAATGTGCCAACACGGCTGGAAAAATGTTATGTGCAAGCTTGACTAAAATGCTCTTTAAAACAAAATAAAATATGAAAAATGGTTCTTGAGTATAAACAAGCGAGAAAGATAGAAAAAACCTGTTTCCCAAATAAAACCTTGGGGACTAGATTACCACAGTAAAAGCTTAAAAAACCAAAAAAAATGGCATGCGCATATAAAATCTGCACAAACCATCTACACAAAAACCTTTGCGTATCTTCCTGCATGAATGACGCACACAAAACTATTATATAAAGAAAAAATATCAGCACCAATGTTCAGCAATAAAATATCCCTCACGGCAAGGGTGCACCAGTGAGGCAAATAAATAATAATGTAAACATTGCACAATAAACATCTATAGTGCTGAAACTCTACCATACACATTGTCCAAATTTCTAAAAAATAAAGACTAGTGAACCTTGATTTAGACACTATCAACCTTACTTTATACAAGGGGGTACCCAAAAGTAGCTGGAATTTTAATGTTTTGTGCGTATGCTGTGCAGTCCCAAATAATGACACCAAGTATCGCTAGAAAACAGTTTTTCATGTCAGTCTGGCAAGTTCTGCAGCTCTAGGTGGACTGGATCATCTCAACTGTTTTCTCTCTATGCGTACAGGCAACATTAAACAATTCTGTGATGTCTGACCACAAGAAACAGATTGCAGAGGAAATTTTGCTTTCTTTTGAAGAGCAGCTGGAATGGCCGATATGTTTTGGAAAAGCCTTTCAGGACGACGCTTTAGGCGTAACGCAGATCTACAAGTGGTTTTCTCATTTCAAAGAAAGGCGACATGTCGGCTGAAAATCGATCACAATCTGGCCGAGTTTTGGAAAGCGGGGGAATGACACAAGCTCCAAAATATTTTCTCAGGCAATCAACGAAGACGGTTGAAAGGCCGCCAGACTAGATTTTCAAGGCACCAATATGTCTGAAGTTCATTCCAGCAAATTTTTAAAACAAGTCGCAAATAAATTTAGTGTCTGCTTAATATGTGTCTCACATGCTCAGAGACAATTGCAGAGAAGTGGAGAGCAGTTGCTGTTCCATGATAACCCCCCCTACCTATGGTCTTATCTGCCCAGCAGTTTCTAGAACAAAACATCATGGCACTCGACCTTCTTCCCTGCATGTTTTAATTTATCACCACAGATGAGAAAGCTATGAAAGGGGAGCAATTCAACGATATAGACAAGGTTAAAAGAAATTGCTGAAGGCCTGCTGAAGTGTTCCACAACTGATCACACTACTTTGAAGAAGACCAGGAGACCAAATTCAAACCTCGAATATAGTATATGTTTGAGACAACATTTTCTGGTTACTTTTGGGTACTTCCTCGTATTTAAAGTATTCTGAATATCCTCCACAGCCATTACCAAGCAACAAAGCTGAACTAGTACTGTAAGCCCACATTACGTCTGATCAAATTTGGTTCGGAGCAGATTTGCTTCTGGTGCACTTTGAATCCTGGGAAGCTTGGCAAAACCATGAATCCCAAAATGTAAATTGTGCTAACGTCCTTGGAAGGCAACATCACCCTAAATCGACCAGGTTCTCGCACTGTTGACACTTGTCGATGGACATGGTACATCCTCTAGCACCAACTCAGAGTGATGTCATTGGAATGTCCTGAAAAAGAAATCATTAGCCAGGTGAGATGATATGAACAAGGCAGAACACTTAGCATAACTTTTGGATCAATGACACAACTACTACTCCAAAATGTTCTTTTGGGAAAGGAGAAAATAGGCGGTCTCAAAGAGACACTTGCATGTTGATAATGATCAATGGTCAGCCACATGCAGAGGGTAAACACATGGAATATGGTGCAAAGAGTCTAAGAGTCAAAGAGTCAAAGAGCCTGGTCTAATGGCAGTCATGCTTATTTTGGGGAGGTGAAGCACCCTAAACAACAGGCAGAGTTGAGAGCTACGGTATCTTTGGCAAAGCAGAGAAACCACATTTCCTGTCTGCCCAGAGGTGGAAATATAATTTGTTTCTTGTAGGAAATTTCCATAAAAAGTAGGCTTCCTATATATAAGCCAGCATATCTCAAACTCTGCATTGTTGCAGAACTCCCCCAACTATATTCAGGGTCATTTGAAGGCCCACATTGAACCTGTTTTAAGTATGACAACAATCTGTTAGATGAATCAACGAGCTTGTGTCTCCGTAAATTGGTAAAAGTTAAATTTGTCAATACGGCTAAACATAAACAATGTCTATTGTCTCTGGCATCCTGCAGAAAAGCCCAGACAAAGCGATGTCGCAGCGGGAAGCGAAAAACACGCATCTGAGCACTTTCTCCAACGAAGTTTTAAGTAAAAATGTACTTGCAACTAGCAGGAGTGCATTGTGACTAGTTAAGAGCTCTACAGGGTGATTCAAGGAGACGCCAGGCTCTTTAAATCGACCGCAAAATTCGGTTTCTTAACGTATCGCGCTACGACTTTGTGCAGCGTTGCCCATATATGGTGCATTTTTTTTGTAAAATTCGCAAAGAGCGAACTTACCTGAGGAAAAAGTAACGAAAGAAAAAGGCTTAGCTCCTATGGAAACGCAGCGACGCCACCGGTCTGCAAACAACACGGCACCGTTTCGCACGGGAGACAAGAGATGGCGCAAGCGGTCGCGACGCCAACTGCCGCCAAAGAACGAGCATATGACGCCGAGAGCCGGCGTCTTTAGCAGACAAGGAACTGCAGTTTCTTGTTGTTACAGCGCCTGTTTTTGTTTCTGCGACTGTCAATGCCTGCAGAACGCACGCCGCTTTTGAGTCGAAAAGATTGTCTGCTAAAGAGGCCGGCTCTCGGCGCCCGTATGCTCGTTCGTTGGCGGCGTTTGTTGCATTTTCTCTTGTCTCCCGTGCGAAACGGCGCCGTGTTGTCTGCAGACCGGTGGCGTCGCTGCGTTTCCATAGGAGCTAAGTCTTTTTCTTTCTTTACTTTTTCCTCAGGTAAGTTCGCTCTTTGCAAATTTTAGAAAAAAAAAAAAGCACCATTTGTGGGCAACGCTGCACAAAGTCGTAGCGCGATAGGTTAAGAGACCGAATTTGCCAGTCAATTTAAAGAGCCTGGCGTCTCCTTGAATCACCCGGTATTGTAACTGCAAGGATGTTCGGTCCAAAGATTTCAACCCTTTAGAGTACTACAGCTGTCCCGGTGGATTGTTTTCCGAACCAGTGCAAATGGACCCCTTCAGCTCCTCTCCAATGTTGCAGTGGACCCTTGGGGTTTGCTTACCACAGTTCTGAAAACCACTGCTATAAGCTCTAAACATGCCAGTGAACAATAGATCTTTAAAAAGACAGTGACTATTAATTGCTACACGTTAATCCATTAATAGGTTCTGTTGCTGTTCATGCATAACATCCTAAAAGTGTAAAAACTACACTTTTTTTTACTATTCCTTATCATGTCATCGATGGCAGGATACACGGTTCATTTGAAACTTGATGCTGTGCTGCTCAGAAAAAAAAAACACAGGCAAAAAATTTTAACAATAAAACATTGTTATGTCTTTGTTACTCTATATTCCCTCCAAATGACAATCATAAGGCTGTGCTTCCTCCCAAAAAGGATAAACGAACCCCAAGTAGTAAAGCAGGCATTTTTACTTTCTTCTAAATTTCGGACTCATATCCCAAATGATTAACACAACAAAAAAGTTTGTTGCGAGTAAAGTATTAATCAATTAATCGGTCTCTCGCGACATTACTTTCAACTCGTCGGCGATTCACTCACCTTTGCACACTTGTCCGGGTCAAACTCGACTCGCCGCACCCTCTCGATCTCCAGGGCCTCGTCCAGGACGTCCATCTCGACGAGGTGATGCGGCTGCCAGTGGTGCTCGGTCCCCGAACGACCCGCACCGCCCGTCTGGCTGCCCGGCTCCGGCTCGGGAAACAGGAATACGGTGGCCGACCGCGCGTGCCGACCGCCTCCGCTCCCCGTCAAGGCTGTGGATCCGGCCGAGCCGTAGCCGCTCTCGGGGCTGTCCGTGCCCTCCACCAATCCGCCTTTCAAGACCTGATCCGATACGATGCCCGAGAGGTAGCTTGGCAGAGCGTGCCGCACCACTGTCGCTGCGGTGACGGCCGTGTTGTAATTCGGGGTGTGCTGATGCCTGGTGGGGATTGGGGCGACGAATTTCGATGCTGGGGGATCCCGGAGTCCCAAAGACCCGTCCCCGGCTTCCGTGCCGACGAGAGACAAGGCATCCGAGAGGACGCCTTGAGTGAGATTCGAGGCAAACGTCTGCAGGACTGCGGCGAAAGGTGCCCGGAAAACCGGAGTTAGGAGCTGAAGGATGTGTTCCAGTAAATTGGCAAGGTGAGATAGCAGTTCCCTGGTCAACTCTAATATACTTGTAGGTAAACATTCGGCAGCCCTCTGCCTGGCTAGCGAAAGACGTAATGCGAAGAATAGGGAGTCTAACCAAAAGTTTAATCAACATTTACTTGACGTTTCGAGACCAGTTCGGTCCCTTGTTCATGGGTAATGGACCAAAAGAACATGTGTCGCTTATATGCACATACGGACGGATGGGGCTTTGCTGACGTCATGCAGTCCCGAGACGTAGCTGCTGGGGAGGGAGCCCGAAGGGAAACGTAAATCGTTCTTTAGGCTCCCTGCCCCAGCAGCTACGTCTCGGGACTGTGTGATGCCAGCAAAGCCCCATACATCCGTACGTGCATTTAAGCGACACGTGTTCTTTCCGTCACTCACCAGTGAACAAGGAACAAAACTGGTGTCAAAACATTGGGTAAATGTTTATTAAACTTTTGGTTAGAGTTCCTATTTTTCACATAATATAATAGTAGCAACCGCAGAAAACAGAAAAGGAGGCAGAGGAAGCGGCACGCATGGTACTCATTTTGAGTGTCCTGGCGAATAACGGCATTAGTATATTCATTGTCGTTCGTTGTCACCTCAAGAAAAAAAAGCAAGGTTTGACATTTTATGCAGTAGAAAGCATGTCCTTAAGGCCTGTCCTTGTTGAAATACGTGACTGCCCTTTTTTGCCAGGAATGTGCCTTTAGCTAGAAGAGACATCTAATGGCCGTTTTTGGCTGCTTTAAAGTGACTATAAAGGGTCAGCCATTGGTTCAAGTTTGGTGGCCTTCGTCATAAGCTTTTTTCCAAGGGCAACTGCACATTTCTCCAAAAGCTGAAGCGTTCTAAACCGTTTTTAAGTGGCTGAAAGAATCAATCGTTGCTTTTCATTGAGCATTCAGACAAAAGTGGAGGGGTAGGACTTCGCAAGTTTTCAATTTAAAAAGAAAAAAACTTTGACATTTCTCATTTTATACATGTGCGATATCTTTTGGTGTAAAAGTAGTGGTTTTTTTTCAAACATTTTTCTTGGTGCGCCTTATGTGTTTTTGTTTCTTTTATGTACGGTGTGACGCATTTTTTTTTATGCGCCGCGCGACATCTTTTGTAGAGCACCGTTATCTACGTAGCCATAAATGGTGGTGCTCCTTCCAGGAGGCACTGCGGTCGCCACACTCTTCTATACTTTTCATAACCGACTCGGAAAGCGAGAAACTTTAGGGTTTCCCAAAGTGTGTCAATGCGGATAGGCTAGACAGTGAGAATAAACTTTTACAGCATGTGATCAACATTGCCTAATTCAGCCATGGTTTTGTATTCTTTTGCTTCAGTCCCGTAGCACTGAAAGGTAAGCGGGCTGGTATACACACATTACAAAAAAAATGATCGCGTCTTCATTAGTTTTCGTTTGATGAGCAGTTTCTATCTGCCATGCCCAGCCATGTTGCTACATGTAAAAGGAAGGATTGTGGCTAGCCAATCTTATAGCAGTACCCAGAGAAGTGTGTCAAGATTTCTATCTGCCTGAGCATCGATGCTCGCGTCGTCTCCGTGACATGGCCAAGGCTAGGCCTAGTGGTTCAAAGCTTGGTTTACAAGTGTCTGGCACACTAACTTTCGTTCGCTCGGCATGTGTATGCTCGAATAAAACCGACTATTTTCTCATTTTGTGCATTTTTCATCCTCTTGTAGCGAAACACTCCATTGCCCCAACCAGACAGCGCCATACCATGGGCATATCTCGCGAGTCAAAACATCAAAGTTGTAGGTCAAATGGTATGTGTGATCTAGCCGATTAACTGAAACTCCGATTTTGTGATACCGATGCGAGTAAAATAAAAAAGCTCCCATGCGAACCATGCAAAGAGGAGCGACTTTGCTGCGAAAACGGCTCAAAGTATGGAAGTGCAACTTATACAAGTGTGCAACTTCGTCCGGAAAATATTATATATTTTTATGAAATAAAAAATAACTGATCTTAAATGATCATACCTTAATTAACAGCATATAGGGGCCATAGACCCTTAAAAGATTACACCCTCTTACGGACGATCCGAAAATACTGTACAGTGGTGAGTGCAAAAAAAAACACCATGAAGCTGGCAAGTCTAGAACTGATATAATACTCACTTCCAAGAGACTGTAAATAATTCATAGACTTGCCATTTTTATAGCATCTTTTGTAAATGCCACTGTGCAGTGTTTTCTAATAGAATATAGTAATTTCAGTAGTTCATAGTAATTCTCTGCAGAAAGGCAAACTTTTTACTAAGAGGCCAAATTCACGAACGGGTCTTACGACAAAAATCGTGCATAAGGCCAAGTCTAAAAAGAAATCTGTATTCATGAAGCGAAATTATTGCAAGTTTTGCGTAGTAAGTATGATGAAATCCTACGATAGTTCCAGAGCTT